CTAGAAATTGAATCACAGCAAGATTCTAGTAGTAAGGGCATGAAACTTTCATGCACCGTTCATGGGCCTAGATCTCTACCTCGATCAGCGCCCTTCTCCCCTCACATGGTCCTCTCTACACATGTCAAATACGCACCTTTTGCAACACGTCAAAGAAGGGGTTACTTACGCGATTCTACCGAGCGTGACTTGAGCACCCATCTCGAAGCAGCTCTCAGGGGCGCACTCATTGCAGACCGTTGGCCCAAGAGTGGAGTGGATGTGGTTGTTACCATTATTGAAGGAGATCAAGCCCGCCAGGTAGCTGTGGAGCAGGGAAGCGAGGAATGGGACATGATGAACGTGCTTAGCGGCTGCATCACTGTTGCCGCTGCCGCTCTCGCGGATGCTGGTATTGACTGTGTCGATACTGTCTCTGGAGGTGTTGCGGCTTTGGTGTCTGAGGCGGACAATGATGAACCCATCATGGTGCTCGATCCAGTTCCTTCTGAACACTCGCACATACTCGCAGCTTGCTGTGTGGCCTATCTTCCCTCCAGGGACGAAATCACAAATCTCTGGCTGAAGGGAAGCTTGCCTGCATCAGACGCCAGTCTACATCGAGACCTTGTCGCCCGTGCCGTACATGCAAGCAAAGGAGCAAACATTGCAGTAGCTGCATCACTCAAAGAATCAGTCATCGTGGGTTGATTGGATAGTAGGTCGGAATATTGCACAACTTTAGGGGTGTTTCTAGGCGTTCAATCAATCACACCATCACAGGATCTATTGACTGCAGAGGCCAGCTTTCTTAACTTCGTTGTGCTTGGATAGTCCTGGCTCGAAATGGTCTTATAGGACACAGCTGTCGGACGAAGAATACAATTGATCTTCTTTTTAAGTATTATATGGCATCATTGGGAATGAAGCCAAATGGGAACGAGGTAGACAAACTGTCGGGGAAGCCCAGACATTAAGAGGAGTCAAGCATATTTATCTAATAAGAAGATACCCCTGAGGCTCCTTTCCCGCTCAATGACTTAGGGACTTTTGCCTGATAGAAGCGCTAGACCCAGCAGGATGTCCAGCTCTTTCAGGGTAATGTCAGGCGGTGTCGAGAAAACTTTCTAATCCAGTGGGTGGACATGAAAGTATAAGATAATGAGTACGCTAGCTTTAATACAAGACCCTGATACTGACAAACTGGCATCCTAGGCGAGGCAAATGCCTCAGCCGAGCTTGACCCCACGGTCTTCTTGCTAAACATCTTCTGAAAGCTATCTTTAATACCTACCTTAGAGAGAGGATTTCCTTCTTATAGAGGAGGTTTTCTTCAATCTTTATAGGGGACTTTATAATTACCCTAAAGGACGCCATGGTTGAGTTCTGAGAGCTCCACTACCTTAGGACCTACTAACCTCCGGTCTGGCGCCGAAATCGGGACCACTTCCCGTGGATGAATGCGCATTGCAGGGGACCTGAGATTGGTACATCGCGTCCATTAATCAACACTGTGCATGACTGTACAGGCTAGAGAGGCACTCCTACAGCGGTTTGGCCACTGCAGTGGGCCATATAGAGGATGCGCTAGTATCCGTGAGCCAACTCAGTCTGGGCTTTGTCTCGACCTGGCTAGCCTGGCAGGTTCATCGATAGTCCATAAGTACTAAGGTACTAAGTTTCCGCATGTTACCACCTCCACCTCGATGTCAACACTGAGGTTGCTCAGTGCCTTGCCTCATCATCGCTTCCCTAGGCCAACAAACCACGCTTCAAACAAGGACACTTCACAATGTCCTCAGCGAAACCCAGTGGCTCGTTATCAAAATAACGCTTCTGTGACTGTCTCGTTTATTAGGCAGCCTTCAATTTCCTCAACTTGCCTTCCATCTTCCGACAACTTCAGCCCGATAGTTCTCCTTAGGCCATGGCCGACGAGTTCGTCCCCTCTGTGCCATCACCCCTCACCAGCTTCACATCCGACACAGGGTTCGATTCTGCCAATGCATCTGCTCCGTGGTACAATCCTGCTGTCTGGACAGTTAATGTGACACGCTATGCGCCCGTACTAGAGGACCTTGTCTGGGCTGGTCCACGATTCATTAAGAAACTTGGATCTTATATTTCTGTGCCCGAACATCTCGAGACGACGACAGACCATTCGAATTACATACCAGCAATAGTTGGCGCGAATACCATACTTGCCGAGGCCGACCCGACTATTCAGAACATAATGGAGCCCTTGTTAGGTACGGGGGGGTCTGAGACAGCGGCCACTGTTCCCATAGGACGGGTACCCGTTGACAGTGTCCGTAGCTTGGGCAGTGTCTTTGGATATGCCACAAGCAAGTGGGCTTTGTGTTGCATAGCTATGGCAGTCATACTCAACAGAACACACATATTCGCTGCCACTCGACGACGCCTACGCTTGCGATGGCCGACAAGACTCTTATTACGATTCGTTCCGATCGTCCTATTGGTAGTACAGGCGCGCCAGTTGCTTCAATCTATTCAGTGCCAGACCTCATCCGACTTTTCCGAGCTACGATGGGGTAATGCAAGCAAAAGCTCAGACTTGATGTTCTCACACCAAAACGCCTTTCTCAACTCTCTGAGTTCAATTTTACTCTTCTCAGCCTCCGATGAAGACTCCTGTATTGCCGTTCGGATGATACCGTCCGATGAATCTGGCTCTGCTCGTAACCTGACCGGCTCCTTGTCCATGCTATGGCCTTTGTTCGGAACATTTTGTCTTAGCCAGTTCCTTGAAACAGTTTCCTGTGCCGTGCAGGGCCGTCCCGTCGCACCGGAGACAGGCATGACACTATTCGAACAATCTCTTGCGTTTGCAGAGGCAGATGCTGCTATCAGTAACCAGCTTGGTTGGAACCTATTCACTAAAACAACTTCTGCTGATGCCCCAGCCTCAGGGCTTGGAAATGCTATAGCTCTGACTAGGTCAATGGTTATGAGAAGGGTCAACACCTCGCCTGAAGTTCTCCTCGTTGCCTTGCTATCTTCGATGACGCATATCACGAGCCATATTCTTGGTATCTTCAATCTGCAAGCCAAGTACCGACTAATGAGCACGGGATTCTGGGGTCTCTGCTTTATGGCTAGCATTGTATGGGCGGCCATTTCCTTTGACCTCGACAATCCATCCTCTCAGAGTCTACTCAGATTTCCAACTGTTTGCATCATAGGGTTTGTGCCACATGTCCTTGTTCTACTAGGTATCGCTATATGCTTGTTCATATATGGGCTTGCTTTGCTCCTCTCAGCATTCTCTCCCCCTTCGACATCAGACATGGCTTCAATGACCATTCGTCAGCGTCTAATTCATGCCCATGAAAACATGCAGGCGAACGTATCGCTCTCTTCCATTCGCATCACTCGAGAAATGGACTTCTACACAGCTCTACTGCGAACTGGGTTCGGTGCTATCACTATGGCTAGTGAGGCCGTCTACCTAAATGAGGACAAAGGCATCAGTTTAAAACGACGCACCTGGCTGGAAGAGCAGCGATTCAAGGAGGCCGAGGAATTGCAAAGAAAACTAATTGGTGGTGGCGGCGGCCTGCCCGACTCGCGATATGACCAGATCGGCGCAATCGGCCTAATTCCCGTGAAAGGGGGGCCGTCAATTGCATCCAATGGGTACGCGCGCGAACGTGCTGCTCAGAAGATACCGAAGGGACGCAGTGAGCGCAACCTTCATGCGGGCATTGGCGCGTCTGAAAGGAGTTCTCGTTGGCTTATGGCACTGGAGTTTCTACTCAGTATCAACAAACTTATTGCAAGAATTAGCGCCAAGTCTTTGTTGTGGTGTCTTGCAACTCTACGGATCCGATATCAGCCAGCATGGCTCCTTTGGCTTGCCCAGCACCCAAAGAGTATGGACGGCCAGAGCAAAAGCTCTAGTCGTAAACAGCCACGATCAAAAGGACCATCTTCATATAATGATGGACGCATACCGAAAGAGGAGACGGCAGATATCGAGGCCGAGTTTAGGCGTGTGTGCATAGACCAAGACGAGGAGAGCCTAGATAGGGACCTATACAAATATTGGGTGAAAAATGGCTGGTGGGGATCTGCAGATTCCAGCGGCGACTTTGAACCTCATTCAGATGACGACTTCGACACTACAAGCGTCGTCTCTATGTCGACCACCGGCGATGGAGTGGATGATTACCAAGCATGGGAGTCAGAAGACGAGAATGACGACGGCCAACGAACACCTACTCAACGATCTCCTCAAATCAGTCGTGAGAGCACGCCTTTCCATGACACCCCTATGCAAATATCTGATCTAGCACGTCTCCTGCATCCCACAAGCCCTGAAGAGCGTGAGGAGGCCGTGACCTTGTCTGCCCACCTCCAAAGCGATGGGATCATGACACGCGCCAAATACCGGCGAATGGAGCAATTGCAACGCACTCGAGTCTTAGTCTCACCAGGTTCTAGCTTGCTACAGCCCAAAGCTAACATCATGCAACCGGGGCGCAACACCAAATTAGATCCCGACGAAGAGGAGCGTCTTTTAGAACAGCTTTTGCTATCACGGCGACAAGCGTTTGCATCAGCGGCATGTTCCGAGACATCATGGGAAAACGGGGGATCAGGTTTTGGAAGTGATGGTCCGCAATGCGTGGTGTGTCAAAGCTCACCTAGGACCATTATTGTCTGGCCCTGTCGATGCCTGAGTCTATGCGACGACTGCCGTGTCTCTCTTGCTATGAACAACTTTGACAAATGCGTCTGTTGCCGCCGGGAGGTTATTAGCTTCAGCCGCGTTTTCGTTCCCTGAGCTCCTGCAGACTCACGATTAGGGCAATCGGTAATGTTTTTATTTAATTTTGCTGTGATTAAGCAACTGCAGCCTTTCTTATACTCATTTGCGTCGTTTCATTTTCGGGAGGCGACGGGCATGGATTCACAATGGTTAAGACTTTCATATTTTGACTCAAATCATCTTGTCAGGTTATATAACGTTCGGCATAGCATCTATTATTTCCAAGCTTTTACATTGCAGCCCATTCAATGCTAAAGGTTCTCATCTGTTGGTCATCTCGTGATCCATTCGCTAGTGGCTGTTCTGCCCCTATTAAAAACGCCTTCTTCACAGCTGTGGCGAGGCGGCCTCCTGCTACGATGTCCAACACGGGAATATCTTCTTCCCATTCATACTGGTTTGCCATGAAATGGGCATGAAACCTCAAGGGATCGCCTGGGTAGACGCTATACTTGGCACCAAAGCGAAGGCCGGGAGTTGTGTAGTGACCAGAAGTAAGGAGAAAGCCGCATAAGGGGCCTTGCGTAGGGTTAGTGGCCTGGTATGTCCGTTCAGCTTCTGAAGAAATCAGCGACCCACTGGACGTTGGGGTGACGCCCAGGGATTTGATTGCAGATTGCTGCTGATGTACGGCGGGTTTAGTTTCACTAGTGGTGATGGTGTCGTCGTCGGTATTGCTAGGGGGCACACGGCGGGATTTTCCACGCTTTAATGCTCCTTCAACAACTTTCTGTGCATTCTTTTCAGCAAGAACATGTTGTGCTGTCTGCTTTCTTGTCCTAAGCGAGTCGAGGTATAACTTCCTCGCCTCGCCGTTATGATTCTGGAGAGCATAGTGGTGGGCAGCTACGTCGTCTACAAGATAAGCCACATTCTTATGCAATAACGCTTCAGCCTCCTCAGGCCGGAGTTCAATTGGAAGACCAAGAAAGATGTTCTGAGTCGGTTGCTGAGGCGCAGTTCCGGCTAGTGTACCGTTGATATTCTCATTCCGACGCAAGAACGCAGCCGCTTCAGAATCGAAGATGAGATATCGCCCAGCGATCTTGGATATCCGAACAGGGTTTGGATCGAAAGAGGCCATATTATCTATGGAAGCGTTGCGAGTTAGCGAGCGCGTCGTTGGGAGTATAGCGAGCATGAACAAGTGTGGAAAGGACAACATCATAAGTCGTCTTCGTAATTTTATTGTGTGTCGTCACAGAAAATCAGGGGATTGACAGATTAATAAGTGTATAATCATTGTGTCCGAGTCGCGTGGGTGAATTGCGAGGGAAAAAGATTGATTTTGACATACCTTTTGAGATTGTTGATGTTGATCAGAAGAAAGAAGAGAAGTGTAGGAAAGGTAGCTTGGAGCTGCTTTTAGATGATAAAATTTTTAGCGAGTGGGGTGGGGAGGAAAAGATAAGATAAGACTCTGGAGCTTGAGACTCAAAGGCAGGGTCATAAAACCAGGTGAATCACTGAATTGCCTTCTCTTCAAAAATCCAAGGTCTCCTTCTTGTGATCATTGGGGTTAGAAGCTTTATTTGGCTGTTCCTCACCTCCAATCGGTGGTAGACTAAAGGGTGTAATCACCAACCCACTGGAACTGCTCAGCTTGAAAGATAGGTTTTCCCTGTTCCAGGTACCTTCCAGACCGCCGCCCTTTTCGTGGAACACAGGTAAGCTATGGGCACGTAGTAGCCCTTGGCCTTTGTCTTCGTTGCCGGGATCCCGCAAGACCGGAGCTTGGTGTTGCAGAGGAATCAACTCGAGAACTCCATCGGATAGTAACTCCATCCACCTTATTAGTCCGGTAGATCGAGGGAACAAAGTGACTGGGATAGTCACAAATGCCGTAACCTGGGTGGAGTACTGTCGAAGGAGTGCTCTCAAAGCATGGAGGAACTTGAGGACCTCTTTGGGTTGACTGGCAGCAGAATTATACAGTGTAGGCGAGAGGAGGCTGGGTACCACGATCCTATGTACTGTAGAAGGTGGCGAGTTCTTGATCTTGGAGGTCACATCGGCAATGAACTTTCGGAACGGCGTGTTTGTTGGAGATGCCATGGGACCTTCCACCGGGGTTGTGTGCAGCTGGCCCTTGATGGCACTGTTTTCAAGACGCTTGGCCAGGTCGAAGCCATGACAGAACGTGCTCGGTATCTGTCCGGGAGTTGTTTGTGCTTGGGCATCTACAATAAGTTGCAGGTCAGCGTTACGTCCTTGGAGGAAGTACGCAGAGCATACCTCTGACTGGAGCGTTGCGCTGTCCGAGTGTCTCGTAGCGCCAGGCAATCTTCATCTTTTCATCTGATGATGAGGTTGGCTTACTGCTCTTCTTAGAGCCATCAGGGCTGCCGAGACCAGGAAGCTCTCTTCTCCAAGCATCACCAAACCCCAAGAGGTGAACCTGATGGCCTTGGGCCAGTCCTTCGGCGGCATAGTATCGTAACAGTACCCCTCCAAAGTCCGTAGTCCCTGTCTCTTCAACGAGCAAGGAAGTTCCCATTGGCATTCCAGCATGACCTGACAAGAGCTGATCCAAAGACTGCGTGCCTGTAGAGGTAGTCAAGCGCCCATCTAACGGAGATGGTCTTGTTCCAGGTGCAAGAGACTTCTCTTGTCGAACGATGGGAGATGAGGACCTGGCAGCTCCAATGACGACATTGCGCTTCCGAAAAGACATTGTCTTTATCTTTCGAGTGCGAGTCGCTGAGTGAGACTTTTTCTTTCTCCTCTTTTTAACAAAAGGATAGTCCTTAGCAGGTACCTAAGGTAAGGTAGGTAGGCTGTGATACCTAGAGGGAGTGAGTACTACATTGGAGTGTGATATCAGCATAGGTAGGTACCTTAGTAGGTTCAAAGGTTGTGTGTGCCCCACCTCACCTACGGGCAGTCAGAGTCAAGGGAGGTACCCAAGTATCCACCAACTTTTTCCGAGCTGCATCCAAACATTTTCTCTTCTTTAATGCAAACCAACGACAAAGCGAAAACCATAACGACCCCAAGATATCTCTTCCGTCCTTCCGCCTTCTTCTCGACTGCCCGATATGGCGAGCGGCGACGCTACTCTGTTCGAAGAATCGTTCACTGTGACTGAGTATGATCAGTCCAAGTATGACCGTGTCGCCCGCATTTCGTGCACTTCAAGCGACTCTCAGACTGTTATGACGCTAGATATCAACATCGAGCTCTTCCCCTGTGCTGTTTCCGACACTCTGCACGTAGTCATGTCTACTACCCTCTCTCTGGATGGAAGCAAGGAGGACGAGAAGGGCTGGCGAGACGTTGGTAAAGGTGGTGATGCGCCAGCGACAGCCGCCGACCTTTATGACTACGTGTGCCATGGAAAGATCTACAAGTTCGAGGAGACATTCGATGGAAATACCATGTGCGTCTCTTCCATGAAGCCCCCTTGTCACCGAGTCTGGAACATCCACGTTTGCTGACTGAATCTAACCTACAGCAATGCCTACTGCTCTTTCGGCGGTCTTCTTATGTCACTTCAAGGTCCCATCAAGAAACTGACCCCCCTCCGTGTCGATAATGTCTACCTGCTCGTCAAGAAATAAGCAGAAGTGCCTAAGATTGTCCATTTATCTAGACTATAGCTCTTCGCCGCCACCATGGGCTTTTGTGTTACCACTAGCTCGAGGCCACATTAATGATACCCATGCGAAAACCGCCTTGTTGCCCCCAATGATTCTCAAAGTCGAAGACCCTATCTCGCCTCTGTGAGCCTGGTCTACCGGGATCACAATGAGCGCCAATTGCTTTGATGCGGACCTGGAAAAGGAATGTCGCGGCGCATTCTCCGCTTGATCTGCTCAATCTCGGGCTCGTCCCCGTCAGTGAGAATTCCATGACGAATGAAAAAGTCGAGGGTGACGAGGGCACAATTGGACTTGAATCGACCCTCGGCGAGATCCGCCTTGACTTGATTAACGTCGCAGAGGTCAAATTTCTCTGCCTCACCATCTCTGGGTTGAGGGATCACATTGTTGGGAAGCTCGAGGTCGTATAGCCACTGGCACTCAGGATAAATGAAGCCGCCTTCACCAACCTGTCCCTCGTCCGTGATATAAATGTATGTGACATTGCCGACGAACTTGGCACCCTTGCGAACGATATCATCAGGAAGACTGGCTTCCTCGTCAGCCTCGCGAATGACGCATTCGAAGGGGTCCTCTCCTGTCATCAAACCACCGGCCACGGTATTATCAAGCATGCCGGGAAAGGTTGCCTTGTCCCGAGCACGCGTAGGGACCCAGAGGCGAATGCTATGAGGTGCAGCATCATCCTTGACATACGCGATCATGTGAACGCCGTAGCGCACCGTACCAAGCAAGCCTATCGCAGCGCGTTCCATGCTGAACAATAGCTCGCCACTACGTCCGTATACAGGCCATAGTTCGTCACGCCAGCGACGGAGAAGAGGGAATGTCCCATTCTTCCGCCAATAGTCGGCCAGGGTCGCCGCGCGCCGAGTACGTTGTTCCTCCGTATGTTCTTGAAAGAGCACAACAGTTTTCTTCTCGTCATCGCATTCCATCTCTCCCCTGACCTCTTCAGGAACCTGGTGCAGCTCTCTGGCCACACGGTCTAGGATGTACCCAATAGGGTATGTGCCTTGACTATCTCTCCATACCAGAGTATAGAGCCCAGCATTCATTTTGGTGAAAGCATCTGGATCAGTCTCGGCATACGGGAACCTTGAGAGATGAGTTACACTTGTATGAGAATAGTGGGGATTTTGAATCATACATGTCCACTTCATCGATGAGATCAATGCTTGTTTTGGCCATTTTGATAGAGGGGAGGACAGAAGCCTGAATTGTTGTGTTGGTGGGGTTTCCTTGGTTCGTAGCTGATCTGATATCGTATATATTCAAATAGAAATACCTAGTAAGTAGATGATGGAGTCAATGTTGAGTACCTAACCAAGGCATCGACTGTTTGGCAGTAGACGTAGAAGATTGATGCAGTTGCGGGTTTTTCCCAACGTTGCCCGGTATATAAGGTGTGCGAGATCTGCCGAGCAAGCACCTGCCCTCGAAATAAATATACCTTACTGTATGCTCTTGGGGAATGATTAGGTACATAGATCTGATATAAAGCTCTGGCTGTTGTCTAAGGTACCTATCTGAGCTTCTCGGTGAAGCTACATCAGGAAGTAAGGTAAGGTAGGGTTAGGGTGGCTCCCGTCTGCTTTTACTGGATCAGCGTCGAGATATGTACCTACAGTACTTGTGACTGACATTTTGGTGGCCCCACGGTGCTCGATGAGACCAAGTACATACCTACGCTCTCCGTCTATCTCCTAACTTCCAAATACTCCAAATGCTTGAGGGGTACATTCCCCTGTATCTCGAGTCACGTATAGTATAGCCGAATTCTTGTTTCTGTCACCTACCTACTACTGTAGGTACATTGAAGCATCAAGGGTCAACTTGGCATGCAATGTCCTGTCCCCTTATTAGTTACCCTAAAGACCCCTGTGGGAAACACTAGGGGCATGGCTACCATATGACGTCCCTGCCCTGCCGCCTGCTCATCAGGTCCATCCATTGCTACCTACCTACACAGCTAAAAATTCATTCCACTTGTTTCTAGATTACCCTCGAAACACCCACCAATCGTTTCACACTACCTACTACCTAGGTAGGTAGACTACGTCTTCCGTACCAGCCAGCGAAACAATGACAAAGAATACCTAAGTTACCTGAGGTAAGGTTTCCGTAACCTCGACCCTTCCATTATTACCTACCTACCTATACAAAGAACTCACCCCAGCCGTTCCCTCTCATCCCTGGTTAGAATCAAATATTCCTTTATCATATGATCATTCGATCTTGCGATTGACTATATCTTACTCATCTCGATATTCAGTATCATCATGTCAAGCCCACTCTTTGGCATCGTCCCTGCGGGCCAACCACTCATCACAGAGCCTTCTTCAACCCCCTCACCAACCTCACTACTCTACGCTCTCCCTACCACAAAACACTTCTCACATATTGTTGTCTTTATGCTACCAGGCGTAAGTCTCCCGCCGAGCACTGCGGCAGCAATCTACCTAGCAACCGCCACCGATGTCGCAACAGCAGCTCAGTCAGGCGGCACACCCAACTTCCGCTTCCTTGGAGGTATAGGCCCTGGAAAGGAGAGCGCCATGTTCAAGGTCAGCGGTGGAGGAGAGGCCAGTGAGTTAGTGATTGGTGTATCAGTGGAGCCAGAAGAGTCTGTTGGCCAGCGCTTACAAGAACTCGCGGCCAGTAAGTCTGGCAACTCATCAGTCGGCCAGCCTAGCACGGCTATACTCGCACAACGGATTATCCAGAACGCCTTCAACTTTCTATCAAGCTTTAGCGGTACAGCAGGACCTGGTGGTGTTGAGGTTGTGCCGCTCAAGGCCTTTGAAAACTGGTGGCGTAAGTTTGAATCAAGGGTTCGGGCAGATCCTAGTTTCCTGGAGAAGCAGTCAGACTAGTGTTGGCTTATAAGCATCTAGAAATGCCTGATCAAAGCTTCAAGGTGTATAACATTCGGGCAGGGAATATAATCAACGGTAAAAGGGCGAGTCCGGTTGGTATGGTATCAGGGGGATCACAGCAATAAACCATCTTTGAGCGACTGACAAAATTGATTAATTGAATTCCAATTCGCACAACTGAGCGTACGCCCCCCTACCGAGAAACAACATCGTTGTACAACACTACCAGAAGCTCCAAACAAGTAATGTAGCGTGATATCCAACAATAAAGACTCCAATTTCGTCGCCAAACTCAGCCAACAGATCAGCAACTGCCACGACTCTGTTCTATGGTATAGCTTGTGCGTTCTTGTGAACGCCATATCTTTAATGCTCCTCCAGTTCCAACAAACTCCCTGACGCCGTGATAATACCGTTGCCCCCCCCCGGAAAAAGAATTACCAGACAAGTATAAGTTTCGCATTAATGCGTCCCCATGAATCATATCGAAGCGCTCAATCTTCCCGTACAGGCGACATGAATGGACTCTTCGCACGAGTTGGGCTGCCGTTGCGGCTCTTTCGGCCAGCACTCAATAGTGAGGGCGATAGCCGTTCTCGACTTTCAGTCCGCACTACAAGTCCGGCACGATCCATTGCTGACGGAGGGCGAGTGAGTTCGTCCGCGCGACCTGCAGAGATACTAGGTGTTGCTAGACCCGATGCCCGTCCCTTTCGTGAACCATTACTACTGCTGTCCGAATGGTCATGTTCATCCGAATCGACATCGCCCAACTCAAAATCAGAGAAATCACCCTCCTCCATTACTCTCTCATAAGATGGCCCCGAGTTTCGTCCGAAGAGTTTGTGGACAAGAGAGGAGCCGCGGCCTGGTTTCCCTGATCGCTTCCGCCGGCTAATCATGCTGAATATCTTTCTTCTTCGCTCGGGCTTGCGGAGCAAATAGGCGACCAACAGAATTATCAGAACAAATGCGACAAGTCCACCAGTTGACTTTCCAGGCCTTTTCAGAAGATCTTCCAGGTCATCGTCATCGTCCCCTGTGTGGGGTGCGATAGGTGAAGAGCCGGCGTGCTCAAAATCCTTCGCTATCCCCTTGTCTACATTGCTTCCAAAGCCGACAGGCAGCTCAGAACCGGACGGAGGAACTTGTCCGGCAGCGTACAGGACCATTTTACCCAAAGTCCAGCTTAACTCGATGCCATCGATTGTGTCCACCGGCCTGAAAGGATCGTTAAATGATTTCTCACCATCGTCCTTGATAGTGTCGTTGGCTGCACCCCCTTCAAGACCAACACGAGGGATGCCAATTCCGTCGTAGAGCATATTAATCAGCCATGAGGCCTTAAAACAAGCCAAACGCGCCTCGGCTGCCTTCTTTTCTGGTGATTTCTTACGTTTATCAAGATCTCCCTCGATGTCTGACCAATCGCGACTGCAGAATTCCATGACATTGTTTTGATATGTTGCCAGATCGTAAGCCTTGTGTTTTCCACCAAAGACACCATGAGTTGTATGCCAATATTCCGAAACACCAACAAAGTGATTAATGTCGAAGTCGATACCGGGTACATGCTGGCCATTAACAAGGCAGGGATGGTCTTTGCATGGCTTGTCTTTGCCCAGTAAAGGATAGGTTACTGTCAAACATTCGTCGAACTTTCCTGTACCAACCAAAACTGTCTTATCCGACTTTGATTCAACAAGTTCGCCGTCTAGAGTAGTTCGCAAGCCATTAGGCATGCAGGGGTCAGGCAGCTCGTGGGTAGAGTCAGTATTGTAATGTTCTTGTAGACGTTCGACATAACGGCTGCGGGCTTGATTGGCACCGAATCCGAGCCAGGTTGCAGTGAATACTTTGTATTCCGATGGTGATCCGTCGAGTGTTCGCATGCGCACCATCTTCAAATCATCCGCATGCTTTGCGGATTCAGTGGCATTTGGAGCAAAGGCAATCTGAGCAGATGCGCCACCCATGTCGAGGAAACCGTAGGTGTGATGACTCTTGCCATGGTCGTGCTCCTCAGGGTGGTCGAAGCCGCCCAGCAAATAATTCGCCGCTATCCAGCCATACAGACCCTCGGTTTCGCCAGAGATAACCTGGATATGGGCATCGCAATCCGGAAGAATGAATTTTGTATTCGACTGTAAGTACGTGCACATTGATTTGAGGAGTGCCGACTGCTGAGGCTTTGGTAGCAATCGCATGCCAGCCGTTGCCATAAGGTAAACGGGGGTCTCGGAAATCTTGCTGTCCGGGACTTCGTCGAGAGCAATGTCGATCAGCTGCTGTAGATGATCGGGACCGATTTGCGCAGGCCTCTCTGCGAAACTCGAAACTCCAGGATGGATCTTCTTGTTTTCTTTGAGCTTGATCTTGGGGAGAGACCTGAGCTCGGCAGCCGATGCATCTTTGGTGGCTTTGGCGTGATTCTTCCACTTGTAGATGTATACTCGAGTTCCTGAGGAACCAGCGTCAAGAATGACGCCATATTGTGCTGCGTGGGACAAACCGTCAGTCAGAGTTTACCAGCAAGAAGTCGAATACCTACATGATTTACCCATCAGGGCAGTTTAGTTCTGACAGGTGCAACAGCGACGATAAGGACGGAGCAAATTATATATGAGTTATAAGTATACCGCAATCGGCGCTGAGCGAGCTGTTTCAACCAGTATGCAATGGTTCGCGATGTTGCGATACGGGGTGGATCCCCAATTGAGCGAAGTTGATGATGTTTCGACTCTGACGATAACGAGAGTGCCGAGAAGATGTAACGAGATTGAACTAGAGGCCGGCCCCCGAAAGGATATCGTTGAACAGGTCTAACTTAGCAGGTGAAGCGAGTGTCGAGCATCATCCGGATGCGTAAGCGAGTGGAAGTTGGAGGTATACGTTAAAGTTGCGAACAAGATTCCAACAATGACCAGAACGAAGAAGTGATTAAGGCCAAAAGAAGGTTAGCGAGGATGAAGTTTGACAAGGATTCGACGAAGACACGAGACGGGAAGTGGATTTGGTGTTGAATTGATTGGACCAACTTATTGCGTACGGCGCAGTGCATTGCAGTAGGACAGTTGATGATTCAAGATAAGGAAGACTGTAGTTGATAAGATGATAAGGGGCGAAACGGGACGAAAACAGAACCACATGGGGCATTGCTTCGGTTCGGTTGGCTCGCTCGCTGGAAGGGGTTTTGAACGTACATATCTTATGCGTAATGGCGTCAGCAGTGCATACCTTACCTTAGGTACAGCCCGCAGGGGTATTAAATGTGCATTTCCGCGATTATTCAGGTATTTTTTGCCACAACGGAATTACAAACACTAATAAAATATTATACTTAGTATATTAATAGAGATAATTCTGGGCTGATCTATATCTATTTTACAGCAGATTAGCTACTAGTTAAAGTACAGAGGTCCCTACTAAAAGTTTTATCCTATGCTAAAATTACTAATACTATTAAAAGTAAATTAGTACTTCTAAATAAGTTAATTTCCTACTAAATAATCCTTACTTTCCTTATATTTATTTCCTCCTTTTAGCTTAATAATTTTTTCTATATAATAAGGTATCTATTTAATTTATACTTAAATCTTCTTCTATAGTATTACTAACTAAGCTACCTTTTACCTATAAATAGCTTTATATTTACTTTAAAGTATACCTTTTTTTATTATTTCTTTTTTTAAATATAGCTAGGTAGCTTTAATAATATTTAAATTAAGGCTATTTTTATACTATAAAACTTACTATTCATTAGTAAGGTTAAAAACTTATTACTATATATAGTAACTATATATTAATACCTTATTTTTCTAAATAACTATACTAGGCTTTTTTTCTTTATATAATTATATAAAAAGAAGTAATTTTAAAATAAGAATTTTCTTTTAATAT